AGGCAGGCAGGCAAGAAGGCAGGCAGGCAGGCAGGAAGGAAGGAAGGAAGGAAGGGAACGAGGGAGGGAGGGAATATGGAATTCAAGCAACAAAGTGGAGTCAGCTAAAGCTAGTATCAACCAAGGATAATAACAGGAAATGCTCACTGAGTATTTAGTCCTAAGCGCTTGTGTAAGCACTTTATTGCCTTATTTAAGGCATTATCTTGGCTAGGAATGTGGCTTAGTGGTAGAATGCTTGGCCTAGCATTCATGAAGCCCTGGGTTTGATTCCTTCAGTACCATATAAACAGAAAAGGCTGGAACTGGTGCTGTGGCTCAAGTGGTAGAGTGCTAGCCTTGATCAAAAGAAGCTCAGGGACAGCACCCAGGCCCTGAGTTCAAGCCCCAGGACTGAAAAAAAAAACAAATAAGGCATTAACTTGTCTCATTCTCATTGTCACTATCTCCATGTTAGAGGTAAAGCCATGAAAAGGTTAGCACACGCTTGGTCTCAGGGCTTCTGGCTAGGGGGTGGGCATCAGTGGGAGCTGGAAGGGCAATTAGAGAAGGTGAAGGGGTGGACATGGCTGAAGTACTTCATAGACACATGTGAAAACAGAACAATGACCTCTGATGGAATTGTTTTCAGAAGGGGGAAGGGAGATGAAGGAGAATGATAGAGGGACAGATTGGTCAGCACACATTGTATGCATGCATGGAAAGATCATATCACCTTTGTACAACAGTCTAAAGGAAAGAATATATCTTTCCTAAAAGAAAGTAGACAGTGGTCACTGGGGACATTAAGCAAGTCGGCATGTGGAATTGATGTGAATATGTTTGTGTTTTGCTGGGCACTGGTGGAGACTGTCTTGAAGGAAGATGTAAATACTCTGGAGGACTCCATTGTTATCCAGGTGAGCCATGGTAACAGTTTGGAGTGTGGTAGCACGGGAAGTTAGCAATATGGACAGACTGGAGGACCCTGTGCTAATGGGGTTTGGAGTGGGGCAGGGAGAGAAATATCCAGCAAATGAGCAGTAGATCTGTTCTCAGAGAAGTTACCGGATCAGTGAGGAAGACTACAGACTCAGTTTTGGACACACTGAGCATAAGAAACATTGGGGAAAGACGTACAATGTATCATCAATTCTCAGTGGAGTATCAGATAAACTCTTATCTGAAATGCTTAGCACCAGAAGTGTTTGGAATTTGGGATTTTTGTTTGTTTGTTTCAGATTTTAGAATATTTGCCTATACGTAGTGAGATACGTTGTAGAACAGAACCCAAGCCACCACATGAAGTGCCTTGTTATTTCTGTGTGAGGCAATTGTTGCATGCTGAGTAACTTTGTGCACGAGACCAAGATCCCTGGTCTGTGAGGTTCCTCTGGTGGTGTGACATCAGCATTCAGAAGGTTTGGGGTTTTTTGGAGTGACTCTGATTTGGGGTTTTAAGGTGAGTGCTGCGCATGCCACATGTGCTGCTGTTTCAAGGATGGACTTGACAGGTTCTCCCTACCCTGACAGGGTGCCAGCCGGGCTGCAAAGGTGAATTCTTAAACACCAGCATGCACCTTCAGTCGTGAGCTGACACTGATCCTCATCTCAGAGCTCCAATGCACCTGCACACGCAGTCTCTGAATCACTGTAATCACCTCACAGGGTCCAAGGCTGGATTTTTGCTTCTCAGGATTTTGCTACTGTGACTTGCTCACATCTGACCCTTCTCATTCTAATACAAATCAAACTGATAAAAATCCAACTATCACAATCCTGATGCTTTAATTGCCTGACAACCACCGAGTGTCTAGTCCATGTCTGCTAGCATCAGAGCAGAATGGAAGGCTTTGGAAATGTCAGATCTTGTTTTCCCCAGAGGAGACAACTTGCCAACTCAAGTATCTCCCAAATTGTACCTTTCAGCACAACTGTCAAAGTGCTTAGATTCACTACTCATAAAACCTCTCAGACTGGGTCACACCGATGATTCTGGAATGCAGATTTAGAAATTGAGGCACAGGATTTATTCATCAGAACAAGACCAAATTGTACTTGGCTTATTATGGGTTTGAGTTCCTATTCCTTTTTCCCTCTGTTGCAATGTTTCCTCAGTGATTTTGCTGGTTAATCTCAATTGTCAACCTGATTGGATTGAGAGGTGCCCAGCCTGGGCTTTTACTGGGCCTCTCCAGAGGTGATTAGATCTTACAGGCTCTGACTTCATCAATGGCTTAACCCATTAATAGATTCAAAACTCAGATGAATCAATGTCCTACTTGAAGGACATTAATCACCAGCGGCCTTGGAAGGATAAACCTTGGCCCTGGCTCCTGCCTGCTACTCTTCTCCCTCTTAATCTATCTGGAGGAAGTTTGGCCAACAAGGGGAGTGAGTGAGGAGGAACATGATTGCAGTGGATTTTGGGTAAGGAGTGAGCAGCATAAAACAGAGGCACAAAGTCCACTTAGCACAACCAGGGAAGAGGAGCGCTCTTTTAGACATGTGTTTGGAAAGAAGACAAGTGCAAGTTTCCACGGGCTTCCGGCAAGCAGCCTCTTGTGACTACAAGGCCTGAGGACTCATCACCACTGTCCACAGCTAAGGCTTTTCACATCTACAAAACTGGAATAGAAAAATTGATGTGGCTACCATGAGGAAAATAATAAATTATCACGATCCTTTCAAGTGCCTCTGAACAACTGCTACCATTCCATCTCTAGTACCATCACACATACACACCCCGGCTCTCAGGATAGGACCTTGAATGCAGATAAAATCTGGGTTCTGTGTTGAATGGAAACCCCTTTGGACAACTACTTAAAGAAAATATGTGTAATACTTAAAGACAATTTTAAAGTCTTATTTCCTTTTTTCTTTTTTTTCTGGTCATGGGGCCTGAACTCTGGGCCTGGGCGCTGTCCCTCAGCTCTTCAGTTCAAGGCCAGCACTCTACCACTTGAGCCACAGCGTCACTTCCAGCTTTTTCTGCTTATGTGGTGCTGAGGAATTGAACCCAGGGCCTCATGCATGCAAGGCAAGCACTCTACCACTGAGCTACCTTCCTAGCCCTTAAGTCTTATTTTCAAGTGGTTGCACAAAGGGGTTTAACACAACATGTCAGGTTATGAGCGTACTGTACCATGATCCATGTCACCTGTCTCCTCCATCTGTCTCCCATCTCTCCCCACCCCACCCATCCCCTCCACTGGCCTGGCTCCATTTTCACATATGGAGGGACATTACGACCGCATCCTCCAACCCTTCTTTGTTTCCTGCTTCTCTCCCCTTCCCCTTGCCCTCACTTCCCTGGCACTCCCCCCTCACTCCAGCTTCTTGGTGCTCATTTTGTTAGACTGTAAGGTTTATTCCTCAGAGCAGTTCCACTACTGGAAAAATGCTGATTCCAGACCCGGTGTGGCCAAGAGCTGCCACTTTGGTTCTTTATGCACCCACGAGCTTGCTCTGTTCCAGGAGCCCTGGGCTAGCTCCTGTCTTGGCTGGGGGCGCTACGCAGGACACTCAGTTCACCTGGTACCCTCCCCAGCCCCGTTCCTGAGCAGAGGATGGGCCCAGGCTTTACCTTGCTGCTTCTGCATGGTGGTGAAGTCCTCAAAGGTCAGGGTGCGCACAGGCGGTCTCCAGAACGCATAGGTCTCCATGATGGCTTCGAGTCCAGTTCTGGAGAAAGGAGAAAGCCAGAAAACAGAGCTGCAAATTATCCCAAGAACTGCGCTGACTTTTAAAGAGCCAAAGGTGGTTGGGGGCTGGTGGCTCACACCTGGCATCCTAGCTACTCAGAACTCTAAGGATCTTGGTTCAAAGCTAGTCTAAGCAGAAAAAAAGATTGGAGACTCTTATCTCCAATTAACCAGGAAAAAAAAGCCAGGAGTAGATCTGTAGCTCAAGTGGTAGGAAGCCAGCCTTGAGCAGAAAAAGCCCAGTAAAAGCACAAAACCTTGATTTCAAGATGGTTAATCTGGCAAGTGTTAAATGCACAAGAGATATCACCACCCAGATAAGTTCGTCTAGAAAAGTACAAGGTACCAATGACGCTGCTTACAGGAAGAACAGAGGTGCCCTAGTAGGTCGTTAAAACAACAAGAACAACAACAAATCCATAACTATAACAAAATTTCACTCTGTCCCTTCTTCAGAATTGATTGTTGCACATGAAAAACAGCATTTGAAGTGTTAAAAGTCAAGGTCACTACTGTCCTTGAGCAGAGTTCAGTGATGATGGCCTCTCCAGTACAGGACACTGCCAGCCCAGCCACTGCATGCCTCCTCATGTACACCGCCATGCACGTCACCACACACGCTGCCACTGACAAGTCCATCCACACTGAGCGTATGAGAAGGGCAAATGAAACGCATATGGATGTGGCTTCAAGGTTTTTTAAAATTGGGGGAAAGGAAATGAGGGGGAATGCTTGGGTAAATTTTATCAGGGGACATGGTGTGCATGCATGGAAAGACCACATGTAATCCTCTCGAACCATCAATAGGTGTTAATAGGTGTTAAATTATAGAGTAGGTGTTGGAGGCTCAGTTGGTAGAGTGTCAGCCAATGACCAAAGGGTCTGGTACTGAGTTCAAGTCTCAGTCTCAAAAAGACAAGAAAACATTATAAAGCAAAGGAAGGTGTCTTAATCCACAGAGACGGATACACCAAGAAGGAGAATAAGCAATCAGATACACTCAAGTTTCTACCACAGCAAGAAACAATGACCGGAAAGCCAAGAAAGGACTTGATCCCAGAAGTTATACTGCCAGCCAGAACGACAACAACAACAAACCTTTCTTCAACTATGTGTCAGTGATTCTTTGTGTATGGTTTAGCAATCGAACAGGTTTCCAAGGATCACAACCTGTCAGGCTTCAGGAAATGTCTAGTATTTTTACAAGCACATTCCTTGCTTATCACTGGAGGTTCTCCATTGGTGTTGAATGTTGCATACATCAGATGGTTGTGTGTATTGTCTGCTATACCCTTCTGTTAATTGTAGCTTCTGTTCATTGTAGCCATCTTAGCCATCTATGTCATGATTCTGACAGCATTGTTTTGGATAACAGCATATCTTAACTGGCACTCCATAGCTCAAAACATGGTGTTGGTTGGGGCTTCACTTCAAGTTTTAACATAGCCTCTTCCAATTCTTGGGTTAAAAATAAGTGCTACGGAAGGTGGGAGGTTGGAGAGTAAGGAACAGTAGATTGCCTATGTCCTTCCTTTGCAATGCCACTGGAAGGGATGTGGGGGCCCTTCTCAGAACAGCCTCGCTTTCTCTGAGGCAGTCATTTACAGAGTTGCATGCTTTGAATGACAGGAGAAACGTTACATAAGGTGAGAACAGACCATCTTTCCTTTTCACTGACAACAGGGTTCCATGAGATTGTTCTTCAATGAGCTACTAACATACTGATTGGCTCTTTATTTCGGAACATTTTTGTTTCCTCTGTGGACAGCCCTTACTTGCAAAGTTAACTTTCTAACGTCTCCTCTGGAATCCTGGAGGCTTTAAATACACCCACATTGGCAAACCAAACTCTGTATTTTAAGAAGAGGTTCACAGGAGAGAGTGTTGCATGGTGTTTATTAGCTGTTAATCTGTGAGAATAGGAATAGAAGATATCTCCCAGCAGCCACCCTACATTAATACTGAATATAGTACATGAGACTATTCATGGAGAGAAAGAGCCCAAGCAGTTAGGGAGTTTAGAATAATAAGGGGCTGGGCTGATGGACCATGTGGAGCCTTGACGGATGGAAGAAACAGAAAGACCCAGCTTAGCTCTTACAGCTCTGTTCTGGAATGTTGGCAGCCCACCAGAACCTCTCAGGATCCCCTGTAGAGTAGGTTCCCTGCTCCACCTTCTATTCTGTTCTTCCCATGAGCAGGGATCCCAATGAGAATACAACACTGCCTTGAGGACAAAGAGCAATGCCCTCTCACCTCAAAATAGAGGGCTAGAAGGCTGTAACGTGGCAATCACACACCCACCAGTGTACTGCCAATGCTGTGCTTAATGAGCAGGTAGGAAATGATCTTTCATCTATGTAGCAACTGCAGAAATGATTTGATTTAAACTATCCCAACTGCACACTGGAAAGGAGTGACCATGTACTATGTGGCTCGATCTGAGACCCAAGTATGAAGCTGATTGAATACTGGAAACCCATCTTGAGTGTTGTCTCCTGACATCAGATGTCTTCTGACATCTGATCATCTACTCTTTGCTTTTCTTCCTTTTGGCAGTGGTGGGGTTTGAACTCAGGGCTTTGTACTCGCCAAGAAGATTCTCTATCACTTACATGATTCTCCAAACCCTCCCCCCAAGACACACACACACACACACACACACACACACACTTTATTTCTTCACTTTTGAGACAGGGTCTCACTTTACCTCCAGGCAAGTCTAAACTGCAGTCCTCCTAATTGTGCTTTCCCAGTTCACCCAGATGACACACATGCACACCATGGAATATCACAAAGTTTTTGTCTGGGCCAGCCTGGAACTATAATCCTTCAAATCTCCGCTTCTCAAGTAGCTGGGATTACAGGCTTCAGTCACCACACTCAGCCCAATGCTGAGTGTTAGTCCAGCCTCTGTGGGCATATTTTCTTGAAAAATTATTCTGGTTTTTTTACATGTATTAGAAAGTTCTGTTACATTCTGCTGCGATCTCTGTTATAACTTTTACCCTCTCATTCCATTACCAACAGATACAAGAGGAGAGGGCCAGACATTTCCCACAGGAGGTGTCCTAGCCACATCTCAGGGAGGCCTCCTTTAGCTTAAGAATGTAACATCCATGTCTGGTGTCAGGGGCTCACACCTGTAATGCTGGCTACTCAGGAGAATGAAATCTGAGGATTGTGGTTTGAAGCCAGGCCTGGCAGAGAAGCCCAAGAGACCCTCATCTCCAATTAACCAGCAGAAAGTCAGAAGTGGGAAGTAGCTCAAGCCTTGAATGAAAAACAATGAAAAAGAATATGAGCAAAAACAGGAGGCCCTGAGTTCAAGCCCCAGGACCAGCACAAAAGAATAAATAATATTAAAGCCTCCAGCATATCACATATGGGTACATCCATCTTTAACAAGGGATATTTTAGTGTTAGCGTTGGGGACAGAAGGGTTCTGACTTCTCCCCAAATAAAGGATAAGGCCACAGTATTACTCACCACATCCATCTTTCCTAGATCTCCACCATATAGAACATAATACCAGTGTCCCAACTGTGCCTTTCCCAACCTTTCCTCTTTCTTGTCTAATTCAAGAATCTTTCTCCATCTCCACCTAGAGAAACTGTGAAGAGGGAGAGGGGGAGGGAAGGAGCGGCCAGATTGTCCTTCTAGAAGTAATATCATATGCCCTAGAAACCTAGGGACTGACCCTAGTGTCACCTAAGAACTGTTCCTTAGCATGAGGATCTCTGACAGACACACAGGAAACCCCCGCACATGAGAATCAGGCTACTTCCTTCCCTCAGCTCTGGGGACTGGATGACTGGGATCTGGGGAGCTAAGTCAAGGAAACTGCATGGCAGATAACATACCAATCAACTAGGCTCCGGCCAAGGAAGGAATGTTCTAAGAACTGAGACTAGGTCAGGGAGGCTGAGCTCAGGGAACGATGGCAGAGAGCGGTAGGGACAGAGAGTGTCTGTTCCATGTGAAATGCTCAGACATTGTTATTCTCTGTTTGGTTTATGCCCTGATCTCCTTTTCTTTCCCATCTTATTCTAGTATTTGGAGAGAAAAAAATCTCAAATCAGAGCATGCCATTATTTCAGACCTACTTACAAGGGAGCTCAGCGACCTTGGACTGTCCTTTCTCCATTCAGGTGAAGGATTTTTTTTGGTTTTGTTTTTTTGCCTTTGTTCTTTTGTTTTGTGCCAGTCTTGGGGCTTGAACTCAGGGCTTGGGTACTGTTCCTGAGCTTTCTTTGCTTAAGGATAGTACTCTACCACTTGAGCCACAGCTCTACTTCTGGCTTTTTTTTTTTTTTTGGTGCTTATGTGGAGATCAGAGTCTCACGAACTTCCCTGCCGGGGTTGGCTTTGAACCACAATCCTCAGATTCCAGCCCCCTGAGTAGCCAGAGTTACAAGTAGGAACCACTAGCACCCAAGTAGGCACAGTTAAACCTTTCACATTTTTTTCAGTGGATTGAGAATTTGTTTTTCTGTCCACATTATTCAGGATATTCTAAAAAAACAACAACCAAAAAACCCTTCCCATCAGAAATCTGCAAATTGTCTAAAAACCAAGCCATCATTCAAAACACGCATCTACACAGTGAACTAGCTGTGGTGATATGCCTCTTTGAATGGCTCCAAAGAGGAAATAATCCTTGGAGTTGAGTTATAACAATGCATTATACACATAAACTGGTACATTGAGTTGAAACCCCTTTGAACAGCTAATTAAAGATTATAGATATAATAAAATTAGAAACTAAAAAAGGACAGTCCATCAGCTGGTGATGCATTGGACTAGAGTAAACCAACTTTGGTTTTAGTATTTGTAGTCACCAGAAGGGTAGAGTAGTATTGCATGAAGAGCATGCTCTGAGGCTAGACTGCCTGGGTTCAAATCTCAGCTCTGTCTCCTACAGGTGCAACCTTAGCCAAGTTATATAACTCCTCCCTGCCTCACCCCCCTTAGCTGAAA